CTCTGCTGCTGTCTGGTTTTTACCCCAGTGTGTCACCAGCAGTGTCATTGCTCAATGGTTTGCACAGCTGCAAATTCAGTTCAGAGACCTTTCCAGTATGTTCCTGCCTATAAAGCAATCAGCTATGACGTAACATTAATGGAAAAATAAACAGTGCTGTGCTGATTAAGAAAGGCATGGTACAACTACTGTAGCAGTATCAGCATACATACCTTCAATAATAAAAACAATTTACATTAAACGTTTTTGGAGTTAAATTCAAGAGAATGATAGTATGATAATAATTGTTACCTGGAGGAACATGATTTCCCTGAATGTCCGCTGCAAAAGAAAAGAAAAGTACAATTAGGATGTGAACTCTACAAAGAACACACAAGCCTCCTGCTCTATTTAATCATTAGCCAATCTTATCTTTCTGTTAAAAAGGTAATCAAGCACTCACCTGGGCATCTGTCCTGTTCCTGAAGGCGTCAAAGATCTTCTTCACGGCCACGATCTCGCCTGTTTGTCTGTCAACAGCTTTCCATACAATGCCATAAGCCTGAGAGAGACACAACATGGTAACATCAGATCGCCATGCATGAGGAGGATTATATTCTGTCACACATTAATATTGTTTTCAACTGCATAAGTAAAGGAAACATATTAAAAGTGGTTCAAAAGTCATCATTGCACCACTTTTAATATGTGGCTTGTGTAAATGTGTAACTTTTAATTATAAAACATGTCAAATGCACATCTGATCAGAAAAATGTGAGGACATGACCTCTGTGCCCTCAATAGTAGCTACATCCATGACTATTGTGAAAGGAGAGTTAGGGTGTGGATAAAGGAGATGAAGTGAAGCATAACAGAGGCAGCAGTGATGCAGGTCACTCTTATTGTAAAGACACAGGGAGTGTACACTGTCACTGAAGACAGTGGATCACATTCACACAGAGCTTTGGTGGCGGCTGTCAAACACCGGACCCACAGAAAGAGACATGATGCATATTTACTGGGGTAAATGGTTAAAAACAAAATATGTATTCAGAACAAGTAAGAGCATTTTATGCTGCTGTAAAAGCACTTTATGAACCTTGTATTTTAGTTTTGTTCTTCTTGCACTATTTTTTATTATTGTATTGTTTTATGCCTCTCAGGACTTCTGGGACGGGTCAGAACTAAACATGGAGAAGCACCGTTTAGTTTATATGCTCAAAATATCTGGAACAAACTACACGAAACCTGCGGGTCTGCTGCAACTCTTACTACGTTTAAATCCAGGCTAAAGACTTGTATTTTTGCTGCTGCTTTTAATTGAACTATTCATATCTTAAATGTAACTTTTATTAATGTATTTTATATATTAGCTTGTTTTATGTTTATTTTATTCTCCTTGCTTTTTAATGACGTGTCGTATAGTCTTAATGTCTTTAATTTTTGTAAAGCACTTTGAATTACCTTGTGTTTAAAGGTGCTATATAAATAAACTTGCCTTGCCTTATATATATATATATATTTAGGTTGCATTGTTAAAAGAGCCTGGGACTTAAGATATTCATTGCCATGACTACACTGCAGCTACTGTGCATATGAAAATAAAACCTTTGAATTTTGAAGCCAAACAGTGCTTCTAATTATAGGTGAAGCACAACATGAAAGGATGCCAGTATCAAAGCAGACAACTGTAAACAGGTGAAACAGCATGAGTCACCTCCGCCTTCAGGACAGGTGTGTGCAGTTAACCAGTAACACTTGTGTACGTGTCAGTCACCACCTGGTCATTGTACGCAGCAGAGCAGCAATTTGTGAGTCTCTGTGGACAGTTTATGGAAAGAAACCAAGCTACGAATAGTCCTGTGGCAAGAAGGAAAACAGAGAGGGGTTGCACTCTGAAGGGAACAAGTGTCCTCACACAACAGCTGATCTGCAAAGAAAGACTTTATCCTGCCAAAGTAAATAAACCTTTCATTGCAACATCATGGAGAGATTTAAGTCTGAATAATTTCAGGAATGTGTCTTAAACGGGGTTTAAAAATGTGGTAAACATTAATGTACAGGTGCCCAGCAGGTTGTTGTGAACAGGTTGTTGGTATAAACACAGCATTGAAAGCGTTTGGCAACTCATAAAACCTTTTTGCAATAATATTAAATTGTATAGCCAGGGGCAGTGGTGTCAAGTAACTAAGTACATTTACGAAAGTACTGTACTTAGGTGCAATTTTGAGGGACTTGTTTTGCACTTCTACTCCATTACAGTTCAGAGGTAAATCCTGTACTTTTACTCTACAACACTTATTTAATACCTTTAGTTACTTACTTTGATGTTTAATATACAACACTTATAAGACTTTAGTTACACCTGGTAACATTCACTGGATACCCTACAAAATAAATACATTTAGCTGCACCAATAGCAGCTTTGATAAACACATTAATGCATCAATAATTATAATCAAAACATATCCTATATTGTTCTGAAGTGGGACAGTTTGCATAATGACTACTTTTACTTATAGTACTTTAAGTATATTTTGATGCTAATACTTTTACAGTAACATTTTGATTGCAGGACTTTTACTTGTAACAGAGTATCCCTGCACTCTGGTACTTTTTTTTAACTTATGTACAAGATCTGAGTACTTCTTCCACCAGTGGCCAGGGGTAAATACACGTTTCCATTTTGAATCTAGTAAATGAAGAGACAGAAAGTCACTCACCCCTTTTCCAAGTCTCTTCTTGATTTCATACTTGAGAGAAATGTGGTCCTCCACCTCAGAAACGTTTGTTGATTGATATTTTTTGCTCATTTTTTTACAGTCCTCTTGCTCATGCAGAAAGCATTACCACACTCTTTGATTATTCCTGAAAAAGATCTTGAATTCTCGGAAAACAGTCGTTAACACCGTTGGCAGAAATGACTGAATGGTAAAGCGAGTTACTTCAGAGACTTGTGTTGATTTCCACTACAAAAAAAACGTTTTTCTGCAGGCTAGTTCTGTATTTTATCCAGCAGCGACCTGTTAATCCACAAAGTGCTGTCAGACATCGCGTCGCTTACTGTTTAACTATCACCGTCGGTCGAGAAGCAGCAGGTTAGTTTTTAACTCAATGAAGTGACTGATAAATAGAATTTGTACTGTACAAAATGTGTTGTTATTTGTCAAGGTAATATTTAATTCTCTCCGCGAGTTTTGATACTCCCCCTCCTCTGCTGATGCAAACTGACTAACGTACACGTTTGTCTCTACTTGTCGTCCTGGTAACGCTGCTGTCTGGTTTCTTAAAGGAGCCGCAGCATAAAATGCTACCCAGACACAGGGGCCAAAAGTGTCACGTCCTTATCCAAAAACTGTCAGTCACTTCAAGAGAAATTAACACAAATACATAAAACCACTACAAAGCGAAACAAACTAACTTCAGAGAGATACAACTTTACTCCAAAAAGAGGTCAACACAAATTGTGTTACACAATCACAAAGAGCAAAGAAATGACCACGAACAGACCACACAAAAACCACAACAAGACTACAACGACACGCAAAGCAACTGCAAAATGACATAAAATAACTAGGAAGGGCTAAAAAAACAAAAACATACAGAGACATACAAATATCAAAAAGAGACATACAAGATATATGGGAAAAATTGACGACCAGCCACATTGATAAAAAATGAGCTCAAAGAAACACAAAATGAGCTCAAACACTCACACAAAATAAACTCAAGGAGGCAAAGCAACCACAAAGAATCCAAAATAGACACACAGCAACTACGAAGAGACACAGAAAGGCCACAATAGAGCTATCCACAGAGAGATCTGTAACATACTGTACAGTACACCATAAAAAAAAGGGCTTGAATCAATGGTAAATTATGTTTGTCTTTGCTTTATTGTATATGAGGTGTTAGGGGCCGGCCATGGGACATCTGGTGTGATCAAGGAGATTAGCACTATACAAAATGGGTGAGGCACTGGGATTATAGAAAGACCGTAGTCATGTTTGTACACTTTTGCATCATGCAAAGTGTTTTGCAAACTTGTTTTCAAGTTAATAGCAGTGCCTGGTAGTCTGACTGCTTTTCTACTTTCGACTTTAGCTCACTGGGACCTGCCTTCACAAGTAGTGAACAAGAAGGTGCTTCAACTATGTCCATGATCAACAATGGCTAACCCATATTATAAAATGTAACTTCAGAGAGAAACAGTAGTTGAAGTGATTAACCTTGAAATAAAAACATGTGATTTATGTGATAAACATGTAAAGAAGGCAATTAAAACAGTAAAGATTGGACCTTTGTCATTTCATCTTTTCATGAGAGACTTCGACTTTATGAAATCCTGACTTCCAAACTGTTGCTAATAAAAGCTGCTACTGAGTTGAATTATGGGAAATGTAGGAGTCATTCTTTCTGGGGTTAAATCAGGTCATCTCAGCCACTGCTGTATCAATTTTAACTTTGTTTTTTACATGGTTCGGCAAGTTCCTCAAATAAACTGCTGGAGTACCCTCCTAGGAGGAACAAAATGGAAATGGTAAATGTTACCATTTATATTACATTACATGTTACTTGTTAGACGCTTTTATCCAAAGCGACTTACATACTCAATACCGTGGGCAACCCCCCCAGGAGCAATTTGGAGTGAAGTGTCTTGCCCAGGGACACAACGACATGCTGACTGCATATATTGCCTTTCTAAATGTATTAACTACTCAAAGCACTTTACAACCAAAGCCAAGACATACATTGACACAGAAAAAAAATCACACACAATCACTAGTGGCTTAGCGATCGGGAGCAATTTGGGGTTCAGAATCTTGACCTAGGAAATTGCAGGGTCCATGTTTCAAACCGCCAACATTAAAGCAACCGCTCCAGAGCCACAGCTCCCCAGGATAATAAAAATAACAACATCTCGTTGAATAAGCCATACAGCACAGATGTCACATAAGATGTTAAATATTTTACACAGTCTAAAGACAAAACTTTGAACAAATCACACAACAAAGATGAAGTTGGAGGTAGATTTTTCATTTTTATTTCTAAAAAGGTGTTACATGCTCTTATTTAAAAATCAAAACTATTATTTACAATGATAATTCTTAATAAATATGTTTTCCCTAATGATGTTTGAGGGTTGAAACATATTTAGCAAGCAAAATGAAGAGGGGGTGTGTCCACCTCGCTTTACCTACTTCATGTGGCCAGCCCTCACTTGTAAAGGAAATATGGATTAGGTTTGTTAACAGAAAAAAGGGCTAGAAAATGTACACAAACAACTTCTTCCACCAACATTTCAATATAAGTATTAATCTGAAGTGCAGTTTAACATTAAAGTCCATACATTATTAAAGCTGCATTCATTTTCTATTAACTGAGAGACTAAGTATGTCAGCTTCAGAACCTAATGCAGGTCCTGCATTAAAAGTGATAGAAAAACAAAATGTAATACAGAACAGAAAATCTGACCCTAAGTGGCCGGCAGTGGATAGAATTAAGGTACGAAAAAGAAAAAAATATATATTTATCTTTCCAATGAGAAAGGCTTTGGCTGTTGCAACCTTTTCTTAATCTGCAGACTTTGCCCGATATAATTGTATCATGCTTCTTTGTTGGTGCTCTGCAAAAGTATAAAATTAGACCTTTTTGATATTACAGTACAAAGTTAGAAGTAAACTGTTTTGTCCAGAGCAGAATTTACAGCAAATGTTTGTTTTTTTTCCACACAAGTTTGGGTAGAAAAGAGGCCAATGGAGTGTCTCACAGCACAGATTAAGCCTGGGGGGCAAGGCTGCAGGCATCATGATGTCCCAGACACTGAAGTACACGAGGCGAGGAGTTTGAATAGTACACAATATGAATAAAAAGGACATACGAAAATAAATGGGGTGATGTGAGACAGATCTAGACCCCGTCCAGATCTAAACCTCCCCCCATCAATAGCCATTTTTTTAACTTAATAGATATTAGAGTCAGAATTTCAGACAGGTGGATCGATGATGGGCCGAGGCTTTAGGAGGAGTGGAGGAAGCGGTTGAAGGCATTGTAGGCCGACTCCAGATCAAACAGCATCTGGCGCACCTGATTATCATCCAACTCGTCTGAGGCCGACATGCTGCTGAGGGTGGTCAGCCTGAGGAGAAAACACAACAACCGTATGTTAAGACTTATCACAGACTGGCCTACGTTTAGCACTACTGGTTTAACTTATTCAAGCAGTCAAGGAAATTGTCCACTTGTTGATATCCATTAAATAAGGTTTATAACTAGGTTTGAGAAAAGAATCCCCCTTAGCACAAATATATTAAAGCACGTCTTGACTTGTTCACTACCTCTTTGACAAAAAGCAACAAAAAAAACAAAAATGGATTTACATAGTAAATATACAGTTACTATTGGGATGTATTAGGTATCAGTTTAGTTTTTCTCAACCGCAAAGACGCTTCAACTAAATAAACATTACATTTTGCATAACCTACTCATAAGGAGACCAAATAATTGAATAAATGTCAAGACTCACCAGAGGCTGACTTTGTCCTTAGCCTCTGAGTCTGGAGGCATGTTGCTCATTCTGTTCATGGTTTCCATCAGCTCCCTCAGGTCTGGCTGGATCTGGACCAATAGAAAATAATCAGTATCACAGTAGTCTCTAAAAGGTTTATTACACTTTTCTACTTTTTTGTTGTATTTACCTCATCCATGGCCCTGATCTCCAGTCTGAGCTTGTCCATCACAGTGATGAAGAGCTGAAAGAGAAGGTGACGAACAATGAGACTTGCACATTCATCAACAAGAAATACTTTTGTTTTTACTAGCGACAAAAACAGAGCACATTCTTTGCTAAAATCCAACCGTCTATCAGCCAATTTTATTGGTAGATAAAAGCTGGCCGTTGATACGACTGGGAACATCCATTCACATTCTAAAATGACTGACCACAGGATGAGCCAAATTAAGTGTAACCACTTCAACCACTGAGTGCTTGAGCTGACAACACTAAATAATTTCATAAACAAACATTTTTTATCATGGCACACTTCCAAAATAAGCCTCCTGTTGGAGTTTAATATGACGGAGAGCAGAGAGGACGTACAGAAACTATATCTGCAATGCAGCGGTTCAAGTTGCCCTTGTCATCCTTGATGGTGATTGGCCGGTCCTCCTTAATCCTTTCCATGGCTAGTGGGCAGTCGAGCTATGAAAGAAAAGAAAAATAATATGAACAACATATATATATATATATATATATATATATATATATATATATATATATATATATATCACCTTCATTGCCTATTTGTGAAAATGTTCACAACGTTAAATAGTTCATTGAATCATCTGCTCTCCAAAAGAAAAACTCACTCTGTACTTTCTGCAGTAATCATCGATGGAGCCCACATCAGAGCCCTGCACCTGTTTGAAGGCGGCCTTGTACTGGACCAGCAGCCTGGAGCAGGAGGCGGTGTACCTGGAACAGAATACTGCACGTTAAAAACAACATAGAAACCTCATATGAGTTGCAACTTGTGTGATCCCAACATGTCCACACTCCACAATGTTATAAAGCCCAAAAGTCAATATTATATTAAAAAAGGAAAACATTTCCAAAATTTGAACATTATACACAAAAGTATCTAATTAAATATTCTGCTTCAATCCATATTTGATGGTGTTAATTGTTTCAAAAAAGACAAAAACGATGGGAATAACACTACACCTGTATACAAAGGGCGATCTAGCAGCAGTCCAACAGCACTATAAATGACATATAACCATATAGCATTTGGAGCAGGCCTACAACTTATAAACTAAAATACAACTCACTCATTGGGCGTGACACAGTCTTTGATGTAAGCCTTCTCCAGAGCCTGAAGGGTCTTGACAACAGCAAACAGCTCTGCCATGTTATCATACCTTCAGAAACAGGGAATTAATGTGTTACAACACTAACAGTATGATGAATCCCTGGGGTAAGGCTGGCAATTGGTCATAAATAGGACACTTACTTCTCTCGTTCTCTTGCATTTTTGTACAATTTCACCTCCTGAAAATAAATGATTAAAAAGTAGAATATTACTTTTTTTGTACGGTTTTAATAAAAATATGCCTTGGAGTAGCAACATCCATACAATTGTATGTTTAACACATTTTCCCCAGAACAATTAAAAATAATATATTACAGATAATTTGAATTACATTAATCATTGTGCTGCTCTAGGGTTTATACAGCTTCAAATCCTGTTTGCCAAATCATTGATAAAGCACACAAAAAGTTGTTACATTTACCTCATATAACTCAGGCTTGTTTGCCGGAGCTGTGGAAAAAAAAGATGACATGCTTTGAGTGACATAAACTGTACTTTACTGTTGAAAGGAGGATACTTGAACAACTTGAATACATCATTAGAAGACATTGGATTTATTAGAATGACTTACCTCCTCCCACCCCTCCTGTAACTGGTATGCCATGGAACATGATGCCGATGTGTCAGTCCTTGATCTGAAATGAGATTTAAGTTATAATTTGACTCAAAACTGACTGATAAATGTGTCCAACAATGTATACATATGTAGTTTATGGACTAAACACATCCAGGCAAATCTATCTTTACAGAGAAAGTAAACTTTCCCACCATTTACAAATTTAAAAAAAATATTAATTTACTATTATTATACCTGGCAGGGACTGTCCCGACTAAAGACATTAACTTAAAGATATTTTCTGTATTATTACTTTTAGAAATTGATATTGATGAGGTACCTTACTTTGTGTTATTATAGTTTCTTAGTGATACACGTGTTACTCAGGAGAAGCATCATGCAAATGAACCTTTTCACAAAGTAAAACATCCACCTTTAGGAAAGAATCTTTCAGGCACAATTTTACACAAAAATTGAGACATTTAAAATAATTGTGTTGTTAAGCCGAATGCAAAATGATTTATGGGGCTCGTCACCTTGGCTCTGGGCAAGTGTTCAGAGACATTTATAGCACTATAAATTAATAAAAGCTGTTTAGATAAACATCACAGGTCCCCAGTAATGTTGAAATTGTGTTACAATACTTTTAAGAAGGGACAATTATTCTCAACCTCAATTTATTTTAAGTACAGCTTTGGGGCGATGTTCCGAGGTTTATTATTTTCAATTAAACAGATCAACACCATATAATTGTTGAGCAAAATCTATGAAAAGCCAGACTTTGTTCGCTGTAAATACCATATATATAATAAGTACAAGTTAGCTATATTAGTTACACAATACATAGCTTACAAATGCTGCCGTGTTGACTAGAAATCGTTGTTTCACTCAAATACGTTTTTGATCGACGAAGAATTAGAGGAAAACATTCCTAACGAAGACAATCACCAGCTTTCAATGTCTTGTTTTGACAAACTAGCTAGCCTGAAGTTAGCTGTCTAGCTAGCTCGTAAGCACTTCCTTTATGATTTATTATAATCGGACGATAGAGCTTATTGTTCGTAAACAATAATGTTTCTATACGTGTCCATTATTGTGGTAACATGTCAAAGGCTCGCATTATTATTCACTATCAGTGTTTAATCAACGAAATTAAAAGACATTTAACTCACCCCTTCGGCAAACTGCTGTGACGTCAGCGTAAACACACCCTCTGCGAGGACCCAAAGACGTCAAAAATATTAGGTGTCCATTGTGCCTAAAAGAAAACCAAATATTTAATTCAAGATTAATAATGCCGTATTAAAATTAAACGGTTCATGTTTGTGATATTTACATCTATCGTTTTAAAGCCTTTAGAGTAAAAAAACAATTTTAAGATTCGTTTATATTTTATAATTTTTACCCAGTCGAAATCAGCGGCAGCACATCGCCGAGGCGCGAGACTCAAACAAACGGAAGAGGACACATTTCTGAAGAAACGATTGTAAAGTCTAAGCTACACAAGTTTAAAGAAGGACAAACGAAAGCTAGAAACATCCCAGAGCCATTTTATGAGGTCAGTTCAAATCTAATATGATCACTTGTTTTATATTGAGAGCTAAAGTAAGGCATTTATAAATACAAATCACCTAACGTTAGCTGTTAGCGATGGTGGCTAACTGATAGTTAACACCGGTTGGTTACTTAGTTAGAAATGTGTTAAATGATGGTGTGATTAAATTAACAATAACAAATCGAACGGGATATTGCTCTTAAAGCAAACTGTATATTACTGTCGATGTAGTGCAAATAGTAATTCATTCATTTAATAATTTTGTAAATGTTACATGTTGTTTGACAAACTGTGGTATCAATGTTTTACATTTTTTATGCAATGATTTCTAGATTTCTAGATTACCTTATTGAACAACAGTATTTTGTTTTGTTGAATGTATTTCAGAGCTGTATTCCCCTCTTGCCATGAAGACCTCCAAACCATCTCTACAGACCTCCACCCAGGAGGAGTGTGGAGTTTGGCTGGACACTGTGCAGCTGAAAGGAAAAGCTAAGCAGGTGTGGAAACTAGCTTTTTAAATTCTTACTGAATAGCTATTTTGCTAGCTCTCTAAATAAAGGTGTGAATCAAGACATTTAATAGTGAGTATCTTAGTAGGATCTTTACTTACCTTTTTTTACATCTTGTGTTTTAGAAACGAGCCCCTCGTCCCATTTCTAAGCTGCTGAATCCCTTCACTGAGGGCAGGGGATACAGTTTGTCGGTGGCACTCAACTTCACTCAGACCAAAATGGAGATGCCGAAGACAAAACAGAGCGCTTTATCCACCTTCTTCACAGCTCAGCGCAGAGGTATGTTGCAAGATCCCTACTGCCATCAGGTTGTCAAGACATTTTCTTAGGATAGATATCATCTTATGTTAAATCAGGCCATTCAATTGAATGTTTATATTTATGTTACATAATTATTTAACCAGGTAAAAAGTCTCATTGAGATTAAAATCTCTTTTTCAAGAGCGACCTGGCCAAGAAGGGCAGCATGAACAAAGTTACAACAGATAAAACACAGACAATACAGGCAGACGAATACAGCGGTCGTAAAACACACATTAAATGGCACATTAACCAGTCAATATGCAAATAAACGAAACTATTATAAATCATTAAAAACTGGCACAATTTAAAACGACTTCAATTATGGGATATAGCAAACACATGTTAACATATTGTTTTTTTCTACCTATTCTGTCTGAAGTTCTCAATAAGATGACAACTTCTGAAGTGCCAAACACAGATCATCTGCAGCCTTCTTCATCAGCCGCCTCATCCACGCATGCCCTCACTGCACCCACGCCTGTGTTATCGGGAACAAAACGAAGACGTGAGATGGATCTTGAAATATCTGACTTACACAACTCTGACCCTTGTGTGTATCATGAGTGGGAAAGTGAAAATGTGGCTGAGCCTGAAGCATCAGAGTGGCAGGAACGGGAAGCAAGTCACACACATTCTCAAAACATGGACTGTGAATATGGAGATGAGCAGTTTGAGGAGATAAATCCACCACAGAGTAAGAGGAGGGTCACTGCAGCCTCCTCTTTCCCAGCTGACAGTCAACTTCCTCCTCAGGCGTGGAGTCAGGATCCGCTGCTCACATTTAGCCAATATTATGATGATGAATGTGACCAGATTAATGAGAAAAATACTACAGGGAAGAACTCTGAGCTAAGTTTCCCGTACAGTTTACAAAGTGAGGATGCCTTTGGTATTCAGATCGATGTGGAAGGTAGAACCTCGACTCAAAAATCCTTGAAAAACACTAATTCTTCTCAGATGGATGATGAGAAAGAAAACAGCAGGGTTTGGTCTTCTATGTCCCCAAAAAAGCACTCGGCTCTCTCTCATATTGAACCTCTTTCTTATCATAAATGGACAGAACCAAAAAGTGCATCACCTCAAAAACATATTCCTGTGCAGTCGTGGAAAAGGGCTGATAAAGAGGAGAGCCCTGAGTCACAGTTCAAGTGGACAAAACCAAGCACTCCTTTAAAAAAACGAGCGCCACAGCAGTCCCGCAGAGAGGTTGACGAGGACAGTCTGTCCATGTTGTTCACTCAGGACTCTGAAGGCTTCAGGGTGATCGCACACAGAGGTCTGCAAACCAGGAGTCCACTCAAAGATCAGAGTAACACAAACTCTGGGACGGGGAGAACGAGCGCTTACACATCTCTGGTGGAGGAGGAGGAAGACGAGATGCTCTTCACTCAAGACTCTCAGGGAAATATGGTGATCAAACACTGAAAGAAGCCTTTGACACACTCGTTATTTGAGCTTATATCTTGATAATTGATCTCTACTTTTTGTCTCCTCAAGTACTGAAACAGTTTTAAAAAGCTAAATTATGCTGTTTGTTTCCATAATGACCGCACTGACTTAAAAGCTACTTGAAAATGAAAATATTGAAACTTAATCTGTGACTGTCTTACCTCTCTTTATCTGTACATATTGTGGATTTTTCTTGATGTTTTTGTCTTTATCTGTTTTTCAATTTGGAGCTTCCTTGTCATTATTGTGATATTTCTCGTCTCTGATAGTGAAATATCTTGTTCTCTTTTGCAATAACACCATCAAGCAAGAACTGAGGGTTTTGGTTTTATTTGAAAAAGGATACACAATAACATCAAGTTGTTTCATGTAAATTAAACGTTTTGAAAAGCATTAGTGGTGTAAACGTCTCTTACATATGCTGGTGCCATGTGATACATTACTACAAAGTGATAGAGAGAGTAGGAAGTGCTCAAGTGGATATTTACTACTACTGTCAATTTTAAGAGTTTACAAATGTGCAGTGCTTGTAACTTGATGTCTAAATATTCATAGAAGTTAGTAATGAAGTGCTGACTGATTATACTGCATATATATATAGACTGCCAGTACAGTACTTCATGACTACATGATGCACATTATGCACATTAAGGAGTTACTAAGACACACTTAATTTGATGGAAAATATACCACATTGTCCCACACTTAACTCCAAGTGATGTTTGACTGTATGTGAACATTATATAACAGTTTCTCTAGAATAATGTATCTGCTGTGATCTAAATTGTGCTTTAACTCTCAGATAGTGAATTTAAAAAGAGCACAGTGGTTATAACGTTGAAATATAGTAGCTTGTTACATAAATGCCTTCATTGCTAGTGCGCAGACATGTAAGAAAAGTGGGACTTAAGTCTGAGCTGTCCATTTATTGTGTGGGGATGGGTTTTGTAGTGAAGATTAATAAACCTTATCACTGATTAAACTTGTCTTAATAGTTTCAAAGTGCTACAGAGATATGACATTACAAATTGAGAGACAACGAGCAGACCAAAAGTGAATCTGTTGCAGTAATCCCTTTGTATTTTGGACGGAGAGATTATAAAAAAAAAAGATAAAAACAAATGCTGAGGATAATGAAGCGACCATCAGCCTGCCATCTCAGTGGGCTCTGTCACCAGCCTGGAGCCGTTCCACACCGTCTTGAACTGCTCCGGTACTGGAAACTCCCTCTGTGGTACAACAAAGAAGAAAAAACATTTATTTAATTATATTTTCATAAATTATGAAAATAAAATTCAATACAAAGTCTAATGCATACTGAGAATGTTTCTTATTCATTGCAATGTGCCTTTGCATGAAAAGATCTGATTGGAAGAACCTTCCCAGTTCACACAGATCCCTCCCTGTCCCTTTCTATCTCAGACACTCACGTAGTCGTCGTCTTGTGGTACCAGGATGTTCATCTCGGAGCTCTTGGCACTGACGATGTCGCAGTTCAGAGAATCCTTGCTCAGGTAGACCTGGCAGCCCTCTGTCGTGTTGATGGAGATGGTGGGAACCTTTCCCAATACCTAAAGAAAGACATCTCGAAATGACTGATGTGGCAAAATGCATTGATATAAAAATAAAACTGATTGCAAAGTTTTGTAACAGAATACAATGAAAACAAGTGCCACCTGACACTGAAGGAGAATATAGCACAGCTGCTGCTTACATACAAAGTGAAGCTAAATGGTAGCCATCACAGCTGATGAGCATTGCTGTAATGCTGCATTCATGTGGTGCAAAAATAATCGAAAATCACCTGAAATCAGAAGAACTGCTACCAAACTCAAACATTTCGCCATCATATGTGAATACATCTGTTCAAGCAGATGCCCTAATGCCGGAATGTTATATCTGAAAGCCAATATTTTGTGTTTCTCACCTGTATTTGAATTGACTTGGAGTTGATGATCTCCACAATCCCAACCACGTTCTCAAAAACTAAACCCAGCTTCTTGCAGTTGTCTGGAGAGAGATGATACGTGTAAAGTAAGTCATATTCAGAAATGATTAATTAAATCTCACATTTCCAGTCTATTTTCAGGCCACTCACCAATGATGATGGAGTTAATTTTGCCCTTAATCTGCAGGGTGGAGTTGTTGCAGCCGAAGACGTAGACCACTTGTTTTAACTCCGTCTCCTCTATGACCAGGTCGTGTTCCTGCTCAAAGTTCTCCTACAACACAAGGGATTGGATTCAGTCAATAACATGTGACATACCATCATACAAAAAGGTTACTCTCTTAAAGAGAAACATTTGACGTACCACCCTCCATTTCTTCCCATCCAGCATCATCAGAGGGGGTCTTTTCTGGACGGTTGCCTTGGAGGAGTTCATGTTCCCCGGAGACTTTGTTTTGGTCGGTGCTGCTTGCGAACGCACATTTGGG